GGACCGTGCTTATTTTCCCGCGCGGGTCGAGAGGGTGCCCCAAGATGTAAATCAATTGGGATGGCAGATTCTTGGACAATCCAGGTCGCTTTCCTGGCGAAATTCGACCGGATTTCGTCACTCCAACAAGGGTCCGGAGGGGTAGGGGAGGTAAGGTCTAGGTCTAGGTCTAAGGCTAAGGACTAGGTCTAAGGCTAAGGACTAAGGCTAAGGCTAAGGCTAAGGCCTAAGGCTAACATCGACAGTCACGCCTCACCCCACGGTGTGGGGTCGGCGGATTTTTCCAAAACTAAGAACAACTCGATATAAATATTCACGGTGACCCTTGGTTATCTTGCAATAAAGGTATTTGCAATATTGGTCAATTCAGCTTCCACCACACAGGCGGGAGCAACCAAGCAACCTTTAAACATCACCAAGGCGACCACTTGGAGGCACCCAATGATGCAATCAACGGCATTAAGGCATGGAGCACAACTCGAATCATTCTCCAAACTGACATGTTTTGCGTGCTGTTTGCGTACACTGATGAACTGCGATGCACAAGTGTTGTCACATGAGTAGAGACAGTGCGTGTGTGACTTCCAGCCGTTGCTTCGAACCGCTGCCAGACCGTTCTATCGGGTGCGAATCCAGTGCACTTCACACTGCCAGCGATCGTTACGGCAAACAAAGAGATCGCTGGCTACGTACATTGCACCCTCAGCGAAGACAAAAAGGCCCTTAACATTTCGCACATCAAAGTTGCTCGGACGAAATGAGCTCTCCAGATTTGTTCAATTGTTCTCTTTGCCTTTTGGGTTTAGAAACCTTCCGAGGGCCTGGCCAGAAAATGCAAATTTAGCACTTTCTTGGTGGATAGCTGTTGGACAGACAGCTCTCAGGTCGATGGTAAGCACAGCGGCAAAGGCCTTGGTGGGCTCCTTTTGGAGGCAGCTGAAGATTTTAGCCACCGAGACTCGGCAGCGGCAGAGATTTTCCAAACACAATTGCTATGTTTTGCTAAATGTTTGGAAGGAGGATGAAGGGGATTGGGCACTGAGCGTTCTAGCCTGCTTTTGAAACTGCAGCTAAAACCAGTTGCAGTGCAAAAAACAAATCACAACAAGCTAGACATAGCAAAACCATGCAAGATCGTTATGAACAAACTTTCACAACGGCTCAGTGCTGACGAACAGACGGGTCATGCAAACATCAACATGACTCTGAACTGAGGCCTTGGTTGGCAGTGTGAGACAGTGGAGTTGAGCGTGTTAGCCAGGAACCGCCGCACTGTCCGTTGCTATGAGAAAGCTGGATTCAGCTTTGCTTCGGAATCCGAAGCAGGCTGGGGACCAAAGAAGTTCTCGGCTTCTAAATGGCAACGATTCAAAAAGGTGCACAAGCACCATGTGAAGAAGGGATCCAAGAAAGGACCCGAGGAGTTGACCAAGCAGTGATGCAATCTTGAACGCAGTTTCACCCGGTTGCCGTCTGCAGCTTGACAGCTTTCCGTCAACCTCAAAAGCAGGTTTTTGTACCTTGTTTGTGCAATAAACACGTTTGATTACAACTTACAACCCAACACCATGATTTTCAGTGGCTTGAACCGAGGCAACTGTCAAGCAGACTAACAGCTAGCAGACGTGCCACAGATAAACCGGGTCGTATTGCTTGAAGTTTGAAGGAGAAAACAACGCGCTCTTTCGCCCTCGTTCTCGTGTTTGTGGCTTTGATCCGTACGACATGCTCGCTAGATGCTAGATCCAGTCCTTTCAGTCGCGGATTCGACTTTTTCTGGTGCGATGTGTCCAGAAACTGGCAGCGGCTGCGTCGAACCCCCCCCCCTCTGTTTGAAGCAGTGCTGTCAAAGACGACTCAGTCGACGACCGTCATCCGGTTGGTTTGCGGACCGTCATCCGCTACATGTGGGATGCTTCCACCGTGATGAAAGACATTCAAGTGCGTTTGCTAACTTTGAGATACCATGAATTCAACAGGCACCAAAGAACCATACTAAGGATTGTACACTACAAAGCGTCAAGCTTTCAAGGGTTTTTGAACATTTGTGCTAATATAAAGATATCAAGTCCAAGTCCACTGCAACAGCCCTCTGAACCCCGCCCTCCGCCATGGCCCCCAAAACTGCGCGCTCACTGCCAAACGTGAAATTCAGCATATCCACACACGATTAGGAACCAAGTAAAACGAAAGGGCTCGAAAAGCGAGTCTTAGTTCTGGTGACCCCTCAAAGTCGGGCGCAGCTCTGCGCCCCCAAACACCACTCCGCGGTCCGGACCGACCACACACCCCAAAAAACCCACCACCGCGATCCGCGATCCGCAATCCCATCCCACGACCCGGACACTCACCGTGTCGACAGGCGGCGCAGGTGCCGTTCTTCGACGGCAAGGTCGTGGCGAAGGCGGTACGGCGGCATCAAGAGGAACTCGGTGGCGCAGACTTGAACACGTTTCCATTCTTTTGTTGTGTGCCAGTTTTCGCCCAGCGATGGCGGGTTCGTTGTCGTTTTTGGGACGTGGATCGCTTTGGTTGAGTCTCTTTTTCGAGGGTGAGGGGACACAGTTTACCATCCTTCTAGTTGAGGCGGTTCTCGAAATCATGTCCAGCTCGTATTTCGTGGGCTGCATAAATCAAACATAGTGGCCACACGTCTCCAAATGTTTCCACCGGTGCTCCAGGTCACGCGCGTCAGCTGGGAGTCCAAGGCCAACACTGTGGGAAGATGAAGGTCCAAGTCAAGTGTCTCTATACAAGGTTTGTTTTATCACTTTAAATTGTTATTATTGTTTTTGTTTTTTTTTTAAAGGTACTATATATATATAATAAGTATAATACTATATAATACAGTTTTATACCGTAATTATATATAATACTGTATTTTTTTTAAACAAGACAGGCACATGTTTTCATATGTGTTGTTTCTTTTCAAGTGAATCACTCTGCAGCACTGCAAATGCACATGAGCAGAATATCTGAAGAAGATCGTGGGTCGGACACCAGAAAAGCTGAACTCGCTTTGCCGCAGACGGGCGCCACAGCGCAGACCAGTGCCGGCTTCAACGGTGGCTATACACCCCAGGCAGCGGCTCAGGTGACGGCTCAGGCGAGAGGATTGGCTGTGGGGGCGGATTGCTGACAAAATCTGATATTGTGCTTTGCGTGCTATTTTCAATTCATTTCTTAGTTTTTCAAAACATGTTTTTACAGTTCTTGAAAGTACTCGTACTATACTAAGTACATCGAGTACATTGAGCTTCTTTTCGCCGCTTTTTGTCGTCTTTGCCGATCTCTCGATGGACGAGACTCTCGGAGGTCCCAAGCGCCGAGCTCTTTGATAGCCCTGGTGTGGGACCCAACGAGGGAAGCCGCGCTCCAACCGAAAGCCGAGGGAATCGAAAGCTCGAGTCCGGTGGAATTCACCTCTTTTTTCCCCATGAATCTTAGGTGAATACTGATCATATACTGCAATATATTCACTAGCGCGTGAGCTTTTCAGCATCCTGTTGTGAGTATGCAAGAAATGGACGACTGCGCAAGCACAGTGACAATCACCAGGTGAGAGTCATGCCGTTGGGGCAGAACTCAAAGTTCGTGCAACAGGATGTTAGAATCACCATATTTCAAACTGAGTTTTGCCTTGTTTGATTGCTGAATTTCTTTGATGGAATGCTGGATATATAGCACTTTAGAACGTGCAAAAATAGCACTTGAATGAAGCCCAGACTTGACTTGACAGGTCAGTTTGACCATGTTTGACCTCATTTTAACAGGTCAGTTGGTGCAAAAAGACCACAAAGGGGGCGAAGCCAAGAGCCGACCTGCTGAGTGAGGTCTTGGTCCGTCCACAGCGCCGGCTGGGAGACCGAGAGAGACCATCCGCGGAGAGACCATCCGGTTCTGACTCGTCTGACGTGGAGATACACAGAATCCATTAGAAAGAGGAGACTAAAGAGGCGCTTCCTCACAGATTCACAAGAAGAACACACAAATTCACAAAAAACACTGGGGGAGCCTGTACAGGCTAAACCTGACAGTTTCCGGTTCAGCTTCGTCGTTGGTTCGATTTCTCCCTTCGTTTCAGCGTTGCGCTGCTGGCTCAGGGGCCGAAGGATGACTTCGACATGCTCTTCAGCTGAGGGTCCGGCGGAAAAGATGGACAGAGCTTTTCTGGAGACGGAGTTGATCAGCCGCAGAGGTGGCGGATGAAGCCGTTCCCAAAATCGAAGAAAGCATTTCTCGATGTTCAGTTCCCCAAAGAAGAAAAAAAAATGACACCGCATGTCCTTCCGTGTCCTTTTCCGTTCTCCGGATCAACTCTTGCGAGGATCGATGCTCCGTTTGAGACGCGGAAGCGACGAAAACCGAGACACCACGGCCGACCGAAGGTGGTGAAGGGTCGGCCGGACGCGCGAAGGGTTGGCCGGACGTGCGAATCGGGGCATCGATAGGTTTCTGTTCGAGTGGAAGGGTCAACATGTCTTGTGGATAAGGGGTCAACATTATGTATCGATGATGGTCCATAGATTCTGTTGACACAAAGTTTGGTTCACAAACATTTGGTCGTTGAATCCGAGTTATATCATCGGTTGCCACGCCGCAGCCCATTTGTGCCAGCGGCCATGTCGGGCACTCGCGATGAGTGCGTCTTCATGGCGCGCCTGGCAGAGCAGGCCGAGCGCTTTGAAGATATGGTGGAGCAACTCGTCGCGAAGATCGCGGCGCGAGCTAGCTTTCTTTTGAGTGACTCAACATGACTCAACTCCACGTCATGCGCTTGATGTGTTTGGAAGTGTTTTTTTTCATGAAGAAAAACCCACAACGACTTGGTTTTCGCTTCGGCGCCGCTGCCGCTAGCGGCTATAGCTGCTTGAGTCGGACCAGGTACATGAAGCGAGTGGCTTGCATGGGTGGCTTGCCCAGCATGTCAATGACAGGTCCAAGCAAATTGACAGGTCCAGTGGCATGGCATGGTGATCATGTTTTCTTACGCTGACTGGAACAACAACAGCTCAGCTCAAAACAAGGGACGGACCCTTCGGGAGAAAAGGGCCGACTGGACCGTCCAAACGAAACGAGAAAAAGAGACCGTGTAAAACAAGAGATCTCTAAAACAAGGGGTTCCCCGTGACCGGGTTCCGTGTGGGCGGAACGTGTGGGGTGGGCCGTTTTGCGGCGACCTCGCCCCCCTCCGACCGGAGCGGACGAGGCTCCGAGCTGAATTTGGACGAGCGGAACTTGTTCTCCGTGGCCTACAAGAACTCCGTGGGCGCGCGGCGCCAGGCCTGGCGCGCGGCGCCTGGGCCAGAGGGCGCCGGTGAACCGGTGAGGAGCGGTTTGGTTTTAGGACGTTTTAGGGATGTTTTAGGTGCAGGGGAAGAGAGAGAGAGAGGGTTTCCATGAAGGTCTTATAGGGCTCGTTTTTTTTTTACATTGTTTTTTTCCATCATTTTTGATGTTCTCCTCAGGGGCCAAATTGAGTTCTTCCGGGATCGTACACACGGTGCCACGAAGTGGCCACAACCCACGGACGAGCACCCAGGTGAATACGCTCGAAAAGAGAGAAGCTGCGGCATCGAAAGGTGCAGCGATTCTGGAGCTGGTGCAAAGATATCGAGAAAAGGCTGGAGTAAAGTACGAAGTGAAGACGAACAAACAGGACGGAAAGAGATGAAAGAGCGAAGAATATGAAAGAAACCATAAATATGCTTAGCGCAGAATGGATTTAAGGACACAATAGCACCTGGCCGTGAGCACCTCTTGTTCGTGACTGGTCTTCTGGTCTTCTTCGTTATTATCAGCGACGGGTCCAGGTGGAGAGTGAGCTGAGCGGAAAATGCCGAGAAGTTCTGAAGATCCTCTTCGAAGAGCTGATCCCCAAAGCCGGTAGCAGCGAATCCAAGGTCTTCTACTTGAAGATGAAAGGACGCTTGCGGATGCAGTCGTCGCTGACGCCGTCGACGGTCCACAGAGTCGCATCTAGACAAATGCTGGGCCCCCCTGGTCACTTCGGTCACCTATCGATCTTTCTCACAGTCACCAGACCACTTTCTGGAAACCCTCATGCGGCATGCGTTCAAACACATTCCGACATGCGCCCCCAAGAAGCTGCCAAATGACGACCGCGGGTCATGCGCCGAACACTAGCGAAGTGCCAGGAGACTATCATCGGTATTTGGCTGAGTTCGCGACGGGTGAGAACCACAGCAAATGTGCGCAAGAGGCAGCAAAGAGGTTTTTATGATTTTTTAAGGTCTACAAAGGACACAGGAACCTCTTCATGATGAACACTCTTTATGACAACAACATGGCTCTTAACCACCTTTTCTCCACATGGGTCCCGTCATCCTTACCCAGGGGGGGTCAAACCCACCGGTGCTCACTCCGCTCACTCCGGCGCTCCTTCCGGTGCCAGGCGCACGACGCGTATCAAAGTGCCTCGGAGACCGCCATCTCCGAGTTGCCCGCCACGCACCCGGTGCGCCTGGGCTTGGCCCTGAACTTCTCGGTCTTTTACTACGAGGTCTTCAGCTCTCCTGAAGCTTGGACGGGGGTGGGGAAATAGTTGGAGAGGAGGGTGACAGGGTCCGGGATGGGGAGAGAGATGGAGAGAGGGGAAGGAAGAAGAGAGGAGAGACTGTTGATGCTGCTATCTTAGCTCATGTGTGTACTCGTGTGTGTGTGTGTGTTTTTTTTTTTTTTTTTTTTTTAAACTCATTTCAAAAGGATTTTTCAAACTTTCCGAGGAGAAGGCGTGTTTGCTCTCGAAAGCTGCTTTCGATGACGCCATGGCCGTCATGGACAGCCTCGATGAGGAGCAGACGTGGACGGAGGGGTGTCGGATTCGAAGGACTGGAGGTGAGACATGAGAAGACCAATTCATTCAATTAGAGCATTCATGCAAACATTCATGCCAATTGCTATTTAATTGAAGTTTGGAACACATCGAAGGATTGGAAGATAGAACATGATAGAACGAAGAGTTCTCTTTGGCACGCCCATGGTTTTCGTCAAGACTTCTCTGCGGTTGGGGGATCGAACCGACAGCCGGGAACAGCTAGCCCGCCATGTTGGGCAGGACAGCTACAAAGACAGTGCCGCAACTCGATGGATTCGATGTCAAGGGAGGCCTTTGAGTCGGCTTGAGGGGAGGGTCCAAAGACGGCGTACCCAAAGGTGTTCCGCTCGGCTCAGCTTGGACCAGGCGAACGGACACCATTTCCTTCCGGCCGGTACCATGCTTGACCGAAGCACCGTGGTTTTATTTGAGGATGTTACTACAAAACCAGGCCTTTCACTCTCTTTCCTTTCGGAGGTTTTGCCCGACGGTTGCTCTGTGACGAATGAAAGCCGTCTGCTTGAGCAGTTGCCTCCCGGGTGCGTTGCTCCAAGGCGATCATGCAGTTGCTCCGAGACAATCTCACCCTTTGGACCTCCGACATGCAGAATCCCGGCGGCTCCTCGGCGACCTCGGCACGCCCCGTCGTCCCGCGCGCGCGCGCGCGCCGCGCCTCGCGGGACACATGGCACACCCGTCACGAGACCCCGGGGGGGGGGGGAGTCATGGAGGCGTTTTCCTGCTCAGAGCGCTTGTTCAAGCGAGCAGAACGGATTTTCCATCTTCCTTCCTTCGTCGGCCCTTGGACTGGCTTCTTCGGGTTCCCTAACCCTTCGCACCTGGTCGAAGGGTTAGAACCACTGGCGGTCACCCAGAAATCCGTCTGGAGAATCTGGTTCAAGCAGGACTTGCGTGACCTGAGAGGCTTTTCGGTTCTGTGTCCGTTCATGCACGTTCAGACGTTGCTCAAATGGGGCTTCCCAAGGTGGGCACCACATGGGAGGAATGACCGCAGAGGATTTCTGAGCCACCTGAGCGTGTGTTGGAGCATCGTTTCACCCCAAATGGACCAAACCATGTCGGTACGCCTTCCAATCAGGTTTTGATCAGCACCAGAATCATCCCACTCAGGTTGCTTCGCCATGTTCAAAGAAACGAATCATACAACGCAACACTGTGCTTCGCAAACTGTGCAGCGTGGTGTTTCACCCAAAGGAACGTAGCGAGTCCTTCGGCGCCTTCTTTCAAGGCAGCCGGAAACCCGGTAGAAAAAGCGTTTCCCCCGGACCCCGCCGAAAGCCTGCAGCGCGGTGGTGGTGGAATCCCTCGTGTGTGTGTGTGTGTGTGTATCGATTCGTCGTGTGTTTTTCATGCGGCAACAGGGGAGTAAAGTAAACACCCAGTTCACGCCTCATGCATGACGGTTCTGGATCTCCAACGATTTCAGGCGGACCCCGCCGGATTTGTTTCATGATTGCGAACTTGAACATTGAACTTGAAGTAACAACTACTCTTGATGGTCTTGCAGCTGAGCAGAAGCTGGTCCCACCAACGGTTAAGCCGGCTTGCGGCGCCGCAGCCGCCATAGTCCAAGAACACTTACGTTTTGGTCCTGCTGCTTTCCTTTCATTTGCTTTGAACATGCTGGCTTTACCTTTGATCAAGCTTTTGTGTGAATTGCACATGACATGTGAATGTGTTCGTAGGTGCTTAGCGGGTGCACAGCAGAATATGCGCGTTTTGCTTGAGGTTGAGGCCCGATAGCAGTCTAACATGACAGCAGTAGCCGGTTCATGTCGTCTAGTCACAAACACTTTATGACAATGATGGCCGATGGTCGCCGTTTGCCGTTGTTGCGATCGCGCCGAGTGCCTGATGTCGAAGAGTGATGGACAACACTGAATCCTTCGGGGCGCGCGTGGGGCATTGCGCCCTCTGGGAGAAAGTCAAAGAAGGCCATGTCCATTTGATCACCAATGAGGACGTGTGGCCCGCGTTTGTGGCCGATCCACCGGATCTGGCAAGCTAGGCACCCCCAAACGACGGTTCCTGTCGTGTCACCCCCGTGTCGTGTTAGTTCGCAGTGCGGTCCCGCGGACCGATCTGGCCGGTCGACCTCCGGAGCCTCCGGAGCCTGCGTCCTCGCTAGCGGCTAGCGAGCGTGGCCCTCGAACCTTCAGGACATCCAGGAGCTCTTTCACGCGTTCGACGTCTATGATCCCAGCGAAAAGATCTCCACCTCCGACCTGGTGCGCCTGTGCAGCGTGGAGGGCACGTATCTCACCGCGGAGGACATCGGCGAGTGGATCAAAGACTCGGACGTGGACGGCACCGGGGAGGTGGGCATCATGGACGTGCATCGAGGCATCACCGAGGGCACCGCCGCCTTCTCGTTGGTCAAGAGAGCTTTATTTGGGCAAGAGAAGGACGGACGGAGCCAGCGCGAGAAAGCGAGACATCCGTATCTTTTTTAAAACTCCGAGGTCTTTTTTGGGGGGTGGGAGGGGGAACCTGCACAAATCCATTAACATTAAATGATCTGTATATGGATGTGTGTGTTCACTTTCTTTAGGTGTGAAACTTCGGACCCTCCTTTTTCCCATCCGTCACCTCAGTCACCTCTTTACCACGGTGCTCCGGTGCCGGCACACGGAGGTACCTCGCCTGGCCAGTCCGAGTCCCCTCCGCCAGGAACACAAGCTGTCAGAGTGCAGCATCCATGAGCTGCTGGGGTGGATGCATTACGAGTATGATCCTTGCACAAAGACGGAAACAAAGAACAAAGACGGATTTCCGAGAGTTCAGAACGCGTGGTTGAACCATCGATATATTCCCGTTGCCGCCAAGCTGGCAGCTGGCACAGGAGCCAGCTGGCCACCTTCAGCCAAGTCTTTTTGCAGGGTCGATCTGGTTTCGTAGTGATGTAAAACTGTAAAACCCTTGGTAAAACCAATGGCTGTTCGAGATTCAGGCTATTAGAATCTATTAGATAAATATAGACATAGATAAATCTATGGTGTTTTGAATTTCAGGGACATGTTTGCATGTTGACTAACACACGCTGTTTCCCAAACCTGCCCAAGGACAAGAAGAGCAAGTTGTGGTCTTTGCCCGAGACGCTCTTCCTATTTACTGCCTTCATCATTGGAGCAGTACTGCATTTGAATGTCTGGGAGGCTTTCAAGAGCTCCCGGGCCTACCAATATGCCTTGACCTACGGCGCCTTGGCCTTCGTTAAGAGGGTTGCCAGTGCCGTGTCACGATGGAACGGATGTTCTGCACATGGCGAGTTGGGCAAGAGAGGCTACTCAAAGCTCCAACCCGGGGGCCGCTCTTAGTTTGAAGGCCATCGCTACTAGGTTGGAAGTTGGAGGCCATCGCTATTAGGTTTCTACTCAACCAACTGGGTGGCAGACCATCACGCTCTTTTGGAACACGCACGCATTGTCCTTCTTTTTTTTCGGCGAAGGATGGAGGCCTGAAGGCCGTGCGCTTTTCTTCCTCGGGGTTCGTGACTACCGTGACGACCGTGATTTGTAGGTGACTTCGCCCTGGAGTGGGTCGTCGATCGAGACACCTTCTGGAAATGGGTCTACGAGGGTTGGCTTCGCAACATCCTGCGGCATCACATGGTGTCCTTCATCCGCGAAGTGGATCCGGACCAGGACGTGCTCAAGACGAATCCCTTTCCGGGACGGGTCCTGAAAACGCACCAGGCGCCAAGTACTTGGGTGCTTTGTACTTGGTGTCGGTTGAGAGAACGTGCCTTTTGTTGGGTCTTCAAGTCAAATATTCTGACATAAAACATAATCACCAAGCGAATGCCTTCCAACCAGTTGAAGGAGGATTTGTTCTTCATGTTCGTTCTTTCTCGTTCGATTTGAGCAGCCAAGCTGAGCATTGCCGAGCGTTGCGCCAGATTATCGGAGCGGTGCGCTTTCGCCGCTGGTATGCCGTTGGCACGGCTTGCCTGTCTGGAAACATGTGGAAGGAGCCGACATGTTCTGCTTGACGCACGTGCCGTGCAGCATCAAGTAACAACACTTAAGGCACTGCCTGGTGCCTTTCCGCAGGACCTCTATTCACAGTGCCCTATGCATGGTGAGCTTATGCCTGATGACTGGTAACTGGACTGGAAACGGAGATTATGCTTGCAGTTGCAGAGATTGTTGAACTAGAAACTGGTAGAACAACCGGAACATGGTTTTATGTTTTTGTCCACTGGGTGTTCGAAAATGACCCCGGCTACATCCGTCTCCGTCCAACCACCGACATCCCTGGACGCGGCAGACCGGTTTGGTTCGGCTGAACTGGAGCCGACCGCCCCAACCGGAGGCCGACCTACCTACGCGGCCTCCGATGTCTATAGTCACAAAAAGAACCTACAAAGCGATGGCCTCCACCCCTCCAAGAAAACATCCGACCGGATGTCTCGGTCGGCCAGGGCAGCGCGTGATCCCCAAGCGTCGCGACTGTATGGTGCGTGCCGTGTGCCGTTGAACGACCGTGTTGGCGGGTGAAGTTGTTTTTGTCAGGTACATCTTCTACCATGAGAGCTACGAGGTCATCCAGGAGCAAATCCAGGAACGTGCTGAGAACTTCTGGCTGGATGATCACACCCGATTTCTCGACGTTCAAACCTTCTCCTACAATGCTCATCAAGCGCCTTGAGCCGCGGTAAGGGCCAGCAAGTTCCTGTAACCGGCACCCAGAGTGATGAATGGATGGGGTGTCCATAAAACATCCTTTGAGTGATGCCGGAAGGTAACATGGAGTCTTTTTCCGAACAGGGGACGAACAGGCCATACGCGTTTTTTTTTTTTTTGTGGGGAGCTTCTAGACGCCGACTGTCGATGTGCGTTCGTTCGTTTTCCAAAACGGCCGGATCACATCCACTGAAAAACTGCGCTGGGAGGCCATGTTTACCTTGGACAATTTGAGACTGGAGTTTCGCGAAGCGGGATACATGATCCACCGCGATGGCAAAAGAGAGACCTTCGCGGATTCGCCCTACTACAACCTTTGGCTGGCCATCCCAGATCTGATCTTCGCCGTCTTGTGGCATGGTTCTGTTAGATACGACCTCGGACGGCCGGCCGGACTTGGAAGGGTGACCGAATGGGATGGTCGGACCTCGATGTCGCCAGTGCTTGGGGAACCTCTTGGGACGGTGTGGGTTTTTCGCTGAGCCGCCCCGCCTCTCCGAAGGTGTTGGTCGAGGGGTTCCCGCCATGGTGACGGAGCGAAATCCCAGTCTGACCCAATCAAACCTGGTCGTCATTACACCTCCTTATAGTGTTTTTGTATATACCGTCCTGTCAAATGAGGTCTTTAACCTGTAGGTTGTATTCTGTGTACAGACTGCAGGCTATATCCAGACCGATGGTCCCTGGTGTAGCTGCACACAGCAGGGCGTGCCTTCCAGCTTAGCCAGCTGGTTTGGTGAGCGTCGCAGTCATTGATGGATTATTGTTGAATTCTACGCGGCGCGTTGCAGATTCCGCGAAATTCCAAGGCTTTGGAATGTCTTCTATGGCGAAATGAAAGAGCTGGTGCCTGCAGCCATGAATGGTCTTGATGGCATCAAGGACGGAATGTGGTGTTATGAGGTGATGAACGTGGCATTCAACTATAATAACCTTTTTTTCTGCCACCGTATCACATACTTCACCAAGGGAATTCTTAGCGCTCAAGGGAGACCCTGACAGCCTCCATCCCTTGATCGTGAAATGTGTCAGGACTACTTGAAACTATGGAATGTGATTGACTGGATCGCCATCGGCTTTGGGTTCACCACCTTGCCCCTTGATCACAGATCGGCCAGTGTGCTTGAAAGCACCCGTTGTGTTTCGAAAGCGCCAAGCGCAAGCGCAGTAGATGCATTCGAGAAAGAGAAAGAGTATCCGTTTCTTTTCCTCGTAGCCCTGCCTCCTTACTTACTTAATTTATAGGCGTCTACTCAATTAAGTAAGGGTGACGAGTTAGCTGGTCGGAGGCAGGATAGCTCGCGCTCGCACTATAATGAGTTGGTTCTAATGAAGCGAGTGGTTGGAGAAAGTACATGCAACATGAACAGAAACTATTTCCCCACCACACCATGCTTCAAGCATGTATATATTGAATTCCTTTCTTTGAAGGGACTGCCTGTATCGAGTGATTTGAGGTCCTTTTGGATGGTTTTCGTGTTGAAGGTGAGTGGCGAGTTGCCAGAAGTCCTCAAACCTCTGCCCTCCAATGCCCTGGATCGAGCGGTCTTTACCAATCGCTCCTACCTCACTTCAGAGGACGCCAAAAACCGTCCGTCGGCCCGTCGGCGTGGCGCTTCTTTTCGATGTCGCACTGGGCGCGAGGTCGCTTTGATCCCAACCAAACTGTAGATCCGAATCGTCGATCTTCCCAAATCGGATCGGCTTCGATCCCCTCACCGTGTCCCACGACCGCAGTTCTCTCCACCCGCGGTCCGCGTCTCAGCGAGCCACCGCGATTCAAACGACACAACAACAAACGACGAAGCAAACCGGTGTCCATCGCGGAGGACCGGGACAACCGGAAAACCCCTTCGGTCGTTGTCCCTTTCGCGCAGGAATTCGACAGCGTGGTGGATCGCTTCGCTGCTCGGAAACCGCACGGTTCGGCCAAGCCAGGTGGGGGGGGGTTTTGCCCCCGGCGTCTCTGGGGGTTCTAGCTCCCATTTTTGGGGATTCTCATAGTCATGGAGTGTTTGGAGTGTTTTTTTTGCACACGAGATGAGATGATCTTTCTGTACCACCCTCCTGGCCAGGCTGTTTGGGAGACCCTTAACAGGTGCTTTCTGGGCAGCACCTGGCCAGGTCGGGTGCTGGACCTGTGTGACCTCCCAAAAAGGGATCGCCTCTCTCTTCGCTCGCTCAGGACTTCGAGCGCCAGGTGGCGGAGATCTTCCGTTGCGCCGAGGAGGTGGCGGAGAGTCACGTGGTGGCGCGACGGCTGATCTTCGTCTATTTGTTCATCTTGATGCTGAAGTTCTTCAAAGCCTTTGGCCTCTCGTTTATTTTATGTATTTTTTTTCGGTTCTGAAAAAGAAAACGTTGTTTGTTTTTTTTTTTTTTAAGACGGTGATGACCGGTTTGGACACGGTTTCCATATATATATATATATATATCTATATTTTACCAATGGGCACCACCCCTGGTGCAAAACAAAGGTGTTGTGTTAAGAACCTGGTTTTGTACATTATTACAACCCTCTTTTGAGAGGGGGATATTAAAAGGACTTCAAGATTTTGTGCTGCTGAAAGTAACCATTAATTGTAGCGGCTGATCAATTGGACACGTGCCTTTCACCCTGCAACTGCAGAACTAGTTTCCCTTCGACGGCTAGCTAAGTCTAGCTAGGTCTGAGGGAACAAATATGTAGTTACTTATTATTTGTGACTTAGCTAAGGTAGATTTTGCTTGGATGTAGATTAGACTTTGGCTCAACTGAGCTTGGGCTTCCTGAGTCCTAGCCGCTAGCCAAGCACACCTTAAGTCTAAGCTAACTCCGAGAAGAGTCTTCCGACAGCTTTTGTTTCTAAATGTTGAAGGGGAAAAGTGCAACAAATTGTTTGACTGTACTTGTCACTTCAGTGTAAAGGCAATGTGTGTCAGAAAACTGTCTGGCAGGGTTTCCCCTGCACTTCAGGCTTAAACGGAATATGTGTCTTGTGCTAAACTTGTTTCCATCAACATTTTCTAGGAATTAAATTGGAATTACTTTGGGCTTAGTTTGGACTCGGACTTAGGTCGGGCATAGGTTGGATGTACCAAGTCCAAGCCAAGTCCAAGTTAGCCGGATGTGAAATAACTTTGAATCAGCTAAGTCAGGCCTAAGCAGTTACTATCCAGAGTTAGCTAAGTCAAAGCTAAGTCAAACCTAATCTTTGTAAAGGTTAAGAGACTTAAAACAAGGGTTACTAGTAGGTTAGCAGGTTTATAACCTATATTACATATGGGTTGTAAGTCAAAGTTGAGGATATACCCGGCAAGTAGGGATATTGGAGCAACAAAAAATATTAAGTTATTGACCAGACTTCTCCAGGAACGCATGAGCAATGAGGTGGAAATGCAGGTGGAATGTGACAAATACCTGCGCTGACATGTCAATTTCTGGATCGCGGATCTTGGAGGGGTCACCCAGTGCCAGAAGACTTGTGAGACCACAGGTTGGCGCTTGTGAGATTTGCAATTCATGTTGCGGTAAGTTTGAGCACTGGAACAGGCCGCAGGGTAGAAACCCGGTTTTTTACCCGTAGGCGACCCATAAAAAAATCCGTGGCCGTAGAACACCCGTAGAAACCCCGTGGACAACCCATAAAAACCCATAGGACAATACGTAGTTTTCCGGTAGTTTCCAACAACATTTTGGGATGTTGGGTTTTGAGAGGTTTTTGAATGCTCTGGGCCTGATCCGAGCGTTCCTGATTGCCCAAAGAGATGCTTGCTGGGTCGACGGCTAAGTCTAGCTAAGTCCAAGGTAGCGACTTAGCTTGGACTTTGCTGGACGTGGCTTGGATTTGGAACAAATCAATTAGGCTGAACTGAGGTTGGGCTTCCCATATGTCGATCCGAGCCAAGTCTCAATCTTGGTCTAAGCCAAGCCTAAGCCCAGTCCCAGCTGAGTCTTTTGAAAGTTCTTAAAGGGGAATATGTGTCAGAAAATTGTCTGACAGTTCTTCCCTGCACTTCAGGCTTAAAAGGAATATGTGGAATCGTCAAACACTTTTCTGACAGATTGGCTATAGGACTTAGCTTAGACTCACTTTGGACTCGGCTTGGGCTTAGGTCGGGCAAGGGTTGGACTTACTAAGTCCAAGTTAGCCCTATTTTGACATAACTTTGAAATAGCCAAGTCAGACCTAAGCACTCACTATAACCTCGAATTTTAGAGCTATACAACCGTTTCCAAGCTGAATCAATTCTAACCTTTGCCAAGGTTAAGTGACTGAAACCAGGGTTACTAGTAATTTATTATTGCATTACGGACTTATGACCTTTAGGTTATAAGTTCAAGTTAGCCCTATAATATTCCCGGATATTTCCCGCATTTGAACAAAGCCTTGATGAAGACCCTTAAAAGGTTGTGATGATTCCTGTGCTGTGTTCGCATGAGCAAACAGCCACTTCCAATAGCTAGCTACACCGTTTGTTTCCTTCAGCGAATCAATGATGTGTTTGAATACCAAATATGTACATGCATCAAGCTGTGACTGTTGTTTTCTGTGCGGATGATGTGTGGAACGGAGTTGGGAACCAAGGTCTCATACATCCATGTAAAAAAACTTGCACGGACATCATTGTCCCCAAACCGGCTTTTCAATCCACAACCGCAAAAAGAACAGGTCGGTAAGATAAAAAACCGTCCTTTTTCGTGGTTTTGAGGGCTCGTGGTATATACAATATGTATCTATTTTGCGCGGTTTCGGTATTGGCGGAACCGTGTTGGTTCTTGTTTCACCAGGGCCGAAGGAAGACGTCATGTGCAATCTTGGGTTCAAAGGAGTGCACTTGGATGTTTTCGTTTGAGCTCCAGAGCTCCAGAGTATTGATGGCAGCCACAGAGAGGTCTCGTTGTGATCAACATGAGGATCCAACGATCGTTTGGACATTGTCATCAAGACCATCACCGGTTCAGCCGTGGACGTGGCCCACTTTGCCTTGGCCTTTGCATTGGCTTCTCGGATTTGATTTGTTTCAGCCGACGAACTCGGAAGCTCCCAGCGGAGCGAGCTTTTTGCTCCGGGGTCAACCCAGAGCCGCCAAGAGACGTTGGAGGCCATCGCTCTTAGGTTCCATTTGCTAGTAGGTTGGAAGCCATTGCTACTCGTAACAAGAAGCTACTAGGTTGGAGGCCATCGCTAGTAGGTTGGAGGCCATCGCTCTTAGGTTCCATTTGCTAGTAGGTTGGAAGCCATAGCGAGAACGCTCAGCCAGTGCCGGCCATAGCGAACACTTGGCGCCATCTGGTTGGACCCATAGCAGCCAGGGTCAAGATTGCTTCTGGAAAGCGGTCCATCGGGATTTCACCTTTCACTGTCCCTTTCCATGTCAAACAACACACATCGCAAGGTTTTGATGGACATCGGCACTCGGTGCCATCACAGTTGAGATCGGTTCGATCTATATGACCCAACGGCCTTTTCAACGCGTCGTCGTCAGCTCTCGTCCCAGGTCTTCGTATGCTTTGCTGGCTCTGGCATGCTGCTGATCGGCACGACCTTCGAGGGTTACCATACCATTCCATCGGCGTTGCAGCTTCAGCCGCACCGATAGACATGGGCTCTCTCTCTCTCTCTCTCTGTCTGAATCCGGGCCCCGAAGCAACACAGAAGGGGCATGAAAAGGCCTGGACTCGGATTCTGAGGGCACCTTTTCGAGCTCAACTGTCAGACATGGACAGACAGATACCAAGGTACTTTCGCTGGGCCGAGAATGTTGAAATGGACGATATCGAGGGCTTCGAACCATGGTTTCAGGTTGCAGAGCGGCAGGTTCTGGAACCGGGGATGTTTTAAAATAACCAAAAGCATCCAAAAGCGATGATTCGGATCGTATATACTTAAGTATTATATACAGCTGTATGTTGCAAATTAACACAGGTTTGGACCATTCAGTCACTCGAATTTAGTAGAAGTCTGGCCTTCAACTCACAGCCTTTTCGGACATGTTGTTATTTTTTTTGCCCTGCAGTGCAGCAGGGCTTGAAGCTTGGGAGACACTCACTTTTCATTGAAATTGAGGTTTTGGCATACTTTTGGTTCTTCTCCTACTTGAGCTTGATGAGCATCTTGTCCCCGTGATCTCAGTCACCATGCGCACGCGCTCGTCATGCGTTTGCTGACACCGGCGTTCCCTCGTGTCGCATGGCCTTCTTGACACCTGACGACACACCTGTCGATCACGACATCAACGGCCCAGAAAAGTGGTCGAAGAAGCTGGGCACTTCGGATGCTTCTCGGAAAGGAATCGGACACTCGGAACATCTCGCCCAATCTATAGTTTTTGTGCCAGGTATCTTGATGATCAATATCCTGGTGGGCTTGATCTTTGAGGCTTATGGTCGAATTCGCTCGGCAGCTGGAGAGCCGGAGACCTTGCTGGAGCAAGTGGGAGAAGCTGTGGAGAATTTAAAGGAGCCGAGACGTGGTCTACCGCGACACGCAGAGTGGCGACCGATGTGGTAATGTGGTGACCGTGCTTTTCTTTTCTTCGAAGAAACACTCCAAAACTGGAGGCGACACAGTGGGCTTCTTCCAAGATCAGGATGTAAAGAACATTAAAGAACCATGTCCCAGACACTCCGGGGATGGGACTGGGGTTGGAACAGGTCTGGCTGGGGCGGCAGTTTTGTGTCTTTTTTGTGTTGTCTGTTCTTTCGAAGCGTGGCTGTTGGACGTCTGTCGTGGTCCCTCGCCGTGGGCGAATGGCTGTTGAGGCGATACCTCGGCCGGGTCGATGGAACCATCACGGCCCGAATGCCGAGTCCAAACGGCCCATGAAAGCCAGGCTGCAGCCTTCTACTACTGCGCTCTGTATAGGACGAATATAAAATATACAAATCACGAAAGCCAGCCGATAGGCTAGGTTTGAGGTAGGGGAGCGAACTTCTACTGTCTATTTCCATTCTTTCTCGAATGACGGCCATATCCACTTCACCACTTCCGGCTCCTCTTTGTTCACTCTACCTATTACCTATATACATATATGTATCCTCACGAAAGCCTGCCGATAGCCTCGCCCATAGGCCCCCCACAACCATCTTTGCTCACTGATTAGCAAGACGCAGCAGCCAAACTCATATAATATATTTGAGGGATGCCGGGATGCCCTTTTTTTTAACCTCCAAAACACTCCTGAGCCAGGACGAGAAAAGGGCACCCCCCCTTTTAATTCTACCTTCTGCTTCTACCTCCTATCGGGTGCCTGCGATCCCACCTTCACCCCATAAGAGTATCCTTTGCCCGATGTTAGCCAATCACGTCATCTTGCACGCCAAGTCTTTGGCCAGGCTTGCCCTGAAGGCACCCTAACCCAGGACCTAGGAGAAATGGTTGGCAGTGACCCAGGACCTAGGAGAAATGTAAGCAGTGGTCCTGTTTTAGCAAAACATGGGTGCATTGTAAAACGATTCAGAACTAGACGACGAGTGGCCCGAAAGCATTTTTCATCACGTAGGAAGTCAGAGTGTGAGTTCTCTGTTAAGTGTTCAGTGTGAAGTGTTTAAGTCGAGTGAGTTGAGGTAGTGTGTGGGTCTCTGTGTGTGTATCTATGTCCGTCTGTATATGAGTCTTTGTATGTGTGTGTGTGTGTTCGAGTAAGTTGAGGCAGTGCGTGGGTCTCTGTGTGTGATGTGGCCTCCCAAACCCACTCTGTGTGTACTAAAGTTGCACTACAAAGTCGCCAGTTCTCATCTTCCAGCTCCCCAGATACTCCACGTACTAAAGTTGTACTACAAAGTCGCCAGTTCTCATCTTCCAGCTCGCCAGATACTCCGCGTACCAAAGTTGTACTACAAAGGCACGATCTCCGCAGAGGGTTCCCCGCGTCCAGGGTGCATCGCGCTCTCGCCTACATTTCGCGCACTCGACAGGCACGATCTCCGCAGAGGGTTGCGCGCACACCGGACAAATCGCACTCTCGCCTTCATTTCGCGCACGCCACACGCACGATCTCCGCAGAGGGTTGTGCACGGACCGCACCAATCGCGCTCTCGCCTGCATTTCGCGCACTCGACACGCGCGATCTCCGCAGAGGCTTGCGCGCGGACCGCACCAATCGCACTTTTGCCTGCATTTCGCGCACTCGACGCACACGATCTCCGCAGAGGGTTGCGCGGGCACGGGACAAATCGCACTCTCGCCTGCATTTCGCGCACTCGACACGCACGATCTCCGCAGAGGGTTGCGCGCGGACCGGGCAAATCGCACTCTCGCCTGCACTTCGCTCGCTCGACACGCAGGGTCTCCGCAGAGGGTTGCGCGCGCACAGACCCAATCGCAGTCTCGCCTGCACTTCGCGCACTTGACACGCACGATCTCCGCAGAGGGTTGCCTTTTCGGTTGACGCTGTTCGTCCCACCCTCCGCCTTTAAGAGAGAATTTGTAAAGTGGGGAAATGTTTTTCATTAGGACATCTCCCGTGCAAGTTTTCCACACTCATACTTGCATACTTGCACTGGGATTGCGCTGGGATACTAGCATACTTTTGCACTTTTGCATACTTTACACTTGCATACACTTGCATACTTACCCTTGGATGCTTTTTACCCTTACACTGGGATACGTATAGACGTGTATGTGTTCAAGTGTCCGTGTGGAAGCGTCGGTGTTCAAGTGTAAGTGTAGAAATGTCAGTGTTCAAGTGCAAGTGTGGAAGTGTCAGTGTGTAAGTGTAAGTGTCGAAGTGTCAGCGTTCAAGGAGTTTTCCGGAAGAACCCTTCGCAGTGCTTTCGGGAATTAAAAGCGATAACACTCATGTAATACAAGCAATACAGTACATGAGAACAGAAGCATTGGAAATTCACATGCCTTCAGTTCTTGATCCGGTAAGTAGTTGCATGTACATGCATGGGTTCTAATTCAGTGGATGTAGGCCGACAAGTCCACCCATGTGAATCAGTGTAAGCGTTGGGGTTCCAAAGCGATAACAAAACGATAGCAGAAACGATGGCAAAAATACACGAAAATGTCCATGTACAAATTCAAAATTTAAGAAACGCCCTCAAAACTCTTCAAACATCAAGGGAAGACGAGAAATGAAGGAATTTGACCAGCCAAATATCTAACAAGTAACAATTCACGCACCACTTTTTGTATTCTTTTTCATTCCCTTAACGGTGAGACACAGGGAGCAGGCCCGGGGGTTTGACCGCTGAACCCTTACACCAAGAGATCCGAAAGGCTTCGCTGGTCGCACCGCCCCGGCCGCGAGGACCTCATCGGAGTTACCGGTGAACACCGGCCTCCCCGTTAAGGGAATAGACGCAGAGACAGAGGAGACATAGACAATTTCTTGTCTTCCTTGATGTTTGGAGTGCAAACTGGACATGAAAAAATTAAACTGAACATGATTTTTTTTAAGCAAGTGCAAACTGGACATGAACAAATTTGTTCATGTCCAGTTTGCACTTGCAAAAATCTTTTCATGTCCAGTTTGCACTTTCCTTGATGTTTGGAGTCTGTTTGAAGGAAATTTGGAGAATCAATTTTTCTTTGAAACCAGTAAATTTTGTACGCGCGCGCACACACACAACAGACACCGACTTTTGCAGTGGAGGCAGGAACATGAAACGATAAGAGACTGTATACTGATTTCCAAACATTGAAAAACGATAAAGAGTTTAACCGCAATAAGGCCATAAGTGGTTATACAATATGTACAGGGTTTTTTAATATCAAGTGGCTCCAATATCAACTTCACCACTTCCGGCTACTCTTTGTCCACTCTACCTATATACATATGTGTATCCTCACTATAGCCTGCCCATAGCCTCGCCCATAGTCTTTGCTCAATGATTCGCAACACACAGCAGGCAAACGCCCCTCACTTCCTTCCAGGCGCCCTTTTTCACCTCCAAAACGCCCCTGAACAGAGACGAAAAAGGGCACACCCTCCAATCCTATGTATTCGACTTCCTGTTTCTACCCCCTATCGAGGTGGCTGCGCTGTCAACTTCACCCCATGCACGTACGCCAAGTCTTTGGCCAGGCTTGCCCTGAGGGCACCCCTTAGCCCAGATGCTGGCTTTCGTCCCCTCCCTTCTCAGTCAGTGATGTGATGTATGTATAGTCATGGTTCCGTCGGGTGAGAATTGAACACCTTTGGGGCAATTGGAACTGAATCTGGCGAATACAGCGTGTACTGAACACATCTGAAGACTCAGAGAACTGAACGCGCTTAAACGGCGGTTGAATCGAAGTCAAGGTCCCTTCAGGGTTCAGTCGAAGAAACGATGTTCCAGGAGACGAAGAACTTCATTGACATGCTGCAAGTCTGCAACGGATACGCCGTAGACGTTTTCTCATGTTTTATGTCCAATCAATCGTTGTCATTTGCTGTTCAAATAGTTTTTTCATTTTTTGAACCTGGAACCCCAAACAACCAGAAACAAATGGTTGTTCCAATATGGCAATTGAAATCGTTTACTTGGAAATGGTTGTTTCGGGAAACATCCTTTTCTTTCTGGTTGTTTGGGGTTCCAGGAATAGGTCGAATGAGAAGAGGTTTTCTGTCCGAAGCTGTTCTTGAAGCTGTTCTTCTGGGAGCAGGTGCCAGTGGCAGGTCGGAGTTTCACGGTGGTAGACTACGCCGGACGAAGAGTTTCGTGTTCGTTCTTCTCAACACCGGCCACTTCGCAATCCGCACCCCAAATTCTAGGTGGTACTTGATTTGTGAACTGGAAGATGATGATTTTCCAGCTCATCCCGCGGAGCTGGTCACGATAAGAAGTTTGAAGAAGGCCTTTTCGAAAGACAGGAGACCAGCGACACGGACTCGACCGACGCCGAGCCATCGGGCCTGAAAGATTTGACACGACGTTCATGTCTGTTCCCACTCGAATGGTCGAGCTGAAGGTTTTCAAGAAACTACTAGTAGCTTTCGGACGCTAAAAAGATGGTGGAAGATGGTGGAAGCCATCGCCAGTAACGACGCCAGGATGACGAAGCAAAACGCCGAGTACCTCATCGAGAGCGCCTCGCGCTGGGCCAAGAAGCAGGACCAGTCCTTTGAAAATCCTCAAAGAGGTGGTTTAGTAATCAAGAGTCTACATTAGTCCTATAGAGTATAGTACCAGAATCTGAGTCCGGTCCAGACCCTCAAAGCCCTATAGTATTATAGAGTACAAGGGCCCGGATTCTTAGGGTAGGATGTGTGGTGAGGTCAGAACTTGTTTGCTTCTCTCTCTCTCTCTCTCACCTTTCTTCTTCGACCTCCCCAAAAACGTCAGGAGCACAATGTGGAACTCTCCGTGACGGATGGCGTGCGGATGATTGGACAGACCAGGCCGACTGACTCCGAGTCTCCCATCGGCCAGCGTCTTCCGGGACGGTCGGTCGGCCAGGACCAACGTGAACAAGTTGCTGGTCTTGTCCGAACAGGCGATCGACGTGGTGCCACGTGGCACGGGGGGCACGCGGCCCATGAGGGCTTTGAGTAAATGGAGAAAGCGAGCGGTTTATTGAGCCCTCGCCAGCGATTCCTCAAACAATCGAAGGCCTCAGTTTCTGAAGAAGGCGCTTTCATCCTGAAGTCCCAAGCAATGTAGGTGACGGCCATGACTACGTGCTTGGGTTTGGGACTTCAGCCAGTCGTGGTCTCTTTTCACGACCGACCTCTTCGACGTGCCGCGCCGTCCCTGCAGGTGAACGCCATGCTGCGGAAGTTTCACTCGAAGCGCACGGAAAGTGAAGGGGGGGATTGGCTCAGCATGTATGGAGCTGCCCAACACGAGATACAGCAGGAGCGAGCGAGCCAGCGAGCGACAGCAGGGTGGTGCAGGGTGCCTTCGTTGGACAAGACCGGAACTGTGGCTCCTTTGCATCCTTCGGCTCCAGGGGCAACATGGAAACGGTGTGTTAGAAATTTGTTTTGGTTGGTTGGTGTGTGTTGTGTGTGTGCTTGTGTGTGTTCTGTTGCGTTTTTCGCTTCTATTTCGTTTTTCAGTTGACTCGGACGCAGGAAGAACAGAGAGAGAGAGTCTCACACACCAAACCTCACACCACAGGAGGCTGCGACGAAGACGGAGGAATCGGATCCCCTCGCGGCGAGTCCGGCGAGGCGGCGAGAGTCGTCGGTCGTGAGTTGAACGGCGGGGGAAAACAGCCGGGAACCGGGTCGCGTGGGAGTGTTGATGTTTCAGATAGACCATCATAGACCTTTTGAGACATGTTCTTGATATATACTATATTACTAACTATATGGTGTAATAAGTGTCATATATATATATATTTATTATATAGCCATTATAGACATTCTTTTTCTTCCTGCGTCGAGAGAGTGGAACCAGGAACCCTGCAGCCGTACACCGTTTCGCCTTCGGGCGGCCCGATGCGTTCGTTCCGTTCGCTGCGGAGGCGAAAGCACAAGGTCTCGGAAATGCAACAGAAGGTCTGGGACCCGGTGGCGCCGGGGAAGCACGGTGTGTGGAAGTCAGTTTAGGTACTACAGAAGAAAGATGACCAACGTGGCTGAAGCATGTTACACATTCTATCCGCCATGCAGTTATACTTGTTTGTTCTGCACTTCATTGCGCATGGCACACTTGATTGCACGCCTTCAAGCTGCGATCACGTGCTTTCTCGCACGAAGTCGCAAGCACGTCGCACGGAGTGGCAGGCAAAGGTGCATTCGAATGTTGATCATCCAACTAACTACTGTACCCATCAGCGACCGTTCTCAGCACATCCACCAACTCTATCAGCTTTCCGTCCCCCGACAGGCCGATGTTTTCTAGTCCGTCCGACCGAGTGCGACAGACCCGGCCAGTCGAGAGAAGAGCTGATGTTCTATCAGATGCGGAACCGCTTCTCCGACATGATTTCCATGACTCAGGACTCCTGAGACTACAGTATACAGATGAGCAGCTTCAAAAACCTCTATGATGGAAAGTGTGCAAACTGTAATCTCACATTCTTTCGCGAAAGCCAAAACGCAGGTCGCGAAAGGTTCGCGAAAGCCCCGCGAAAGAACCCCAGAAGAACAGCGTCGCGAAAGCTTTCGCGAAAGTCGAATTTCTTGTGCATGTCGTGTTGTTTATGTGGGTGACCATATTTTTATGCAGGCAGCCGCAGCAGGCCAGCCAGCCAGCCAGCCAGCCAGCCAGCCGCAGCACACCAGCCAGCAGCAGCAGCAGCGCTGAAGAGCAAGTGTTTCAGGGGAAAATCGAAAAGCCCAGACGAATTTCCGCGAAACCCGCGCGAAAGCCTCGCGAAAGAACCGCGAAAGTCGAAAATATCCGGGAAAGGTATCTGGCCCCAGCAAAAAGTTTCAGCAAGTTTTCCTCCTCTTCTGATGACAACAATAATACTTGAACGGTGCTGCTACAACTCCTTGTGCCAGGATGTTGCCGGAAAGAAATTTGTTCAGTTTTGACCACCCTAAGGACACTTATATCGGATAACTTATATAGATCAATCACTTTATTGTACAATATCCCAATCGAATTTCCCAATCGAAAACGAATCGCCGCGAAAGCCGCCGCGAAAGCCCCACATAACACCACACCTTCCGCGAAAGCCAGAATGCAGGCCGCGAAAGCTCCGCGAAAGCTTTGCGAAAGCAAACCTGGATTATACAAAAAAGTAATAGGGGTTTTCGAAGCTGCTCAGATGGGATGAAACAGTTCAGAACGGCTTCTTGGGCGGTCTCAAAGGGGTCTTTGCTCGATAGAAGTGGACAAATAGCTGGCTTGCTTGAACGGTTTTTCCAGGGCTGGCCCCCCCATGCGCTTCAGCACTCAACGAACCTGGCAGGAGCAGACGAAGCTGCTGGAGTTCATTTCACAATCGATTGGTGCTCGCCAAGAATCCATTGTGGAGAAGGAGACCTGTCGGCCATTTTTCCACCAGAGAGATGGGTGAGAGAGTGGGGATCGATCGATCTGGGAATTTCTCCCTATCGAGTACTCCGTCAGCAGGGGCGGAGCTACAGCTACCTCAGTCGATGGCCCCAGGACAATTGGGGACGGCAAAAGACGGCGGTGCTCACGGACAGGTGTGAGAAGATTGAGATGCTTGGGCGGCAGTCCTTGGGGTCGGCTGAAAGAAGAAGCGGCGGGCGGTCTAAGGGATTCTTGAAGATCTATATGATCTATAAGGGTCCGTCATGTGGCGGACTCCAACTCCGACGTAGTCCTGCGAAGCTTCCTCCGAAGCTTCCAACAGTGGGCCCAACAAGTCGCCATTCAGGATCAACATCGGCAAGCTGAGCGAGTGCTTAAAGGGCGTCGACCCCGGTCAGCTGCGTGGCATGCCGGACAAGTTGAAGGAGCCGCCGGGGTATGTCGCCGCAGTCCGCGGTGAGGGTCGAGTTGGGGGGAATCCAAGATGACAGGGCTAATATAGTATGCGGTATAGAAGTCCAAAGACAAAACCATTCCTTATAGTGCAGTAAAGGAAAATGTCCCTTTCGTTCCCTAAAAACCGTTCTGGACCAGGACCAGGTCAAGCATTTCGAACGTAGTTGAAATCGGTGAGTGCTTCTGTTCCACTTCGTGTTGCTAAAAAAATGTACGTGTTCAGCGTTCATGGAACAACTGTAGCTTGTTTTCGCCCCAAATCTTCCTGCTCCCGCGGGCGCGGGCTTTGAGTAGGTCGCGTCACCGTCAGACCGCTTTTCGCGCTTCGTGGTCGGTGGACCATCGGGACGAAAGGTGCGTCGGAGACGGAAGCAATCCCAGGAGTTTGCGCAGAAGGTGCACGCCTGGCAAGTGGAGGATAGCAATCCTCGAAGTTCTTCGAAACTTGCGGCTGGGCACAGTTCAAGTCCAGAGTTGATTTCGCCTTTTGACACTTCTTCGGGTATAGTGCTAGCATACAGGCAATGAAGTTTGCAAACGACATGTCGGCTGGTGCTTTTGGCCCTCCAAGGATCATATGGCCATGCTTCAGCATCAGATGGACTCGATCTCACAGGACGTCGCCCAGATCTCGGCTGCGACCAAGGCGCTGGCTCTCGGCGCCCACGTGGTGTTTCGGCCCCGCACGGCCCGTCGTCCCCGTCGTGTGAGGCCAAAGCAGATATTGCCAAGGCTTTGCAGCATGTCGACGCTCGGAAGAGACAGATATGGGCCAGGGGGAAGAGAGGAAGAGGACACAAAATGAAGCAAGTGATATAGACCAAGGAGAGGAGACATGTCCTTTTGTAATTTGTAAAAGAGACTCAGTCTTATAGTCTCTCTCCCGTAAACTCTATGACGTACGCCTTGTTCTTCGTCCATCTTCCGTGCTCAGAAGCCGTTGATCGACCAGTGGTGCGGCGCGACGACGGCTCGCCTGGTGAAGACGCCCAGCCGCTTCACCGAAGACTCCAGCGACGCCTCGCCGCGCATGGTGCAGACTTGGACGGGTTTCACCAGCTTCGACGCACAAGACGACGCACCGGACGAGGTCAGATGAGACGTCTCCGGTCCGAGGCGCTCACCCGAGAAGGACGAAGGACTGTGTTGGTCGAAACGTGTGTTTGTTGGGACGAAGTAGGCACGGAACTAACGTGCTCTGACTCGGGTGACTCTGAATATCTCTGAATCCTGACGGCTTGGTCAGATGGTTCTTTTTTGCGGATGTTTCAGTCGGGAGAAAGAGGAAGGTGATCTGACCAGGTGGTCGCCCTAAGAAAGCTGGGCACGTGAACATAGATGTCTCACACCCTGTCTCATCTCTTTCACAAAGAAATTGAGAAGGAGCAAAGCCGAGGCAGAGAAGAACATCGGATTCCGTCGTGGCCGGAGTGCTTCCGGACCTCGGACGCCGATGGATCTCTCGGGGTGGACGCCACGGGTGGTTGCCTGCAGGTAAACACACAGGACGCATACTGTAAAGACAACAACATTTAAACAATCATAAACACCACATGGACATTGTAACTCCTCCTCGCAACAGCTTGGAGCTCATCAAAGAGCTCCAGGGATCAGACGAGCTCAAGTTGGACACTCCAGGGTCACGCGATTTCCGGCGCCTTTGTCGACCGTTCGACCCAGACGTGGGGTCGATGTCTTCATCGAAGCGACCGGACTGGTCTCCGGTCGACCTTTACAGCTCAAAATCGATGTCTTAGTTTCCTGTGCCCAACGATGCAGCTCGCTCGCATGTTGGGTCGGTGGGTGTTCAGTAGGGCACACATGGGCAACACGAACATCACCGCATCTCACCAGTGCCCAAGGCTGCTGCGCTATTTTCTGGCGTTGGGAGCTGAGAAGCAACGGACGGAGGTGACGGAGGTGCGCTTTTCTCGTTGCACGGCGCATCGAGGCTGGCCTTGCCATGGCCAGCTGCCACAGCGTTGCCACCGTGTTTCCCAGATGCCGTCCCAGCCTCTCAGCGTAAGAACATCACCATCGCAGGCGGGAGGAGTGTCGATTCGAAGAAGGTGCCACTGTCAGGATTTCTGAGGATTCTTTTGAGATTGGAGAAGGAGTACCGTACCTGGCTATGAAATGACTAGTGATCCTATAGTAGACAGAGTTTCGGACACTGACAGAGTTTCTTCCCGTGCAGGGCAGTCCATGCCAGTTGGAAGTCTGAGAATGGGATGGGATTCCGCCGCTTGGCGCAAAACCATCGCCCACCGACCAGCGCTCCGCCTACTGCTCCGCCTACGGCTCCGCAGCGAGGCCAAGTTCCTGCAGCATCTCTTCGAGATTCTGTCCCTCGGCCCGAGACGGGTCGCGACAAAGAGATGCCGACCCGTCTCCGCGACCCGGTCGGACGTGACGGACGTGATCCGTCGACGGCGTCAGGGTGACTGAGAAGATGGGTTATAATATTGAAGATCTTGGCGTGGCAAACAATGCCCAAACAGTTCCAGAGCTGCAAGGGGGAGGCGGAAACAGCGTCAAGGTGCTTTGGAATACTTGCGGTAGGGGCTGGAGTCGGAATATTTTGAACATTCAAGGCTTCAGTCAGATGTTCAACCCCTCAGAATACTTGTGTGCACTAAGGGTGAAAGCCCACCAGACCAATTGTTTGTTTATTATTATTGTTACTATTTTTGTGCATGTATGTATTCTTGATCGTGCTTGATGCATGTGGGCTCATAAACAAAAAAGAAGAGGCCGAAAACAAATACGCACCGATGAACAACATATTA